TGCTTTGTGCCTTTGCCTTTCCTGCAGCCTTCTTCCTCTTCCTGCCCTTGTGAGGGTTGGAAGGTCCAGCTTGCTCGGCAACCATCACAACTGATTTCTGAGTGAACAAGGACTCAGCCGACTGGAGTTCTGACAACAGTTCTGGAAGAGCCATATGCATCTTGTGCATGTTATAGTTCAACCGGAACTGATCAAAACTCTTTGGCAGAGATTGGAGCATGATATCTGTAATATCCCGACTTTTATCAGTATTAATAATATTTCAGTTCCGATATTATTTGTCAGAATTAATTATTTTCAGTTATTTCAGTCAACATTACCGGAAAATATTTTCGACGTACCGCCTACGTTCGAAATAATTTTGGTAATTTAGCATTATGTTTAATTGGATAATTAAACATAATTAGGTGATTAATTTAACTTAATCACGAGATTAGTAATTGTTCGGATTTTATTCCGAGTTCATGTTCTTAGCCGTGCATTGTTGCTATTGCCGTGTGCATTGTTCATTTATGTGCTATGTATAAGTGTTAGAATTATTTTGTCCAAGTTCTTGTGCATGCCGTGTGTGTGTGTTCGGTCCATGTCCTTGAGCAATCCGTGCGCGCGTGTTCGTCCGAGGATCCGCACCCAATGCTAGCCGGCGGCGTGTCCAAGGCTCGAGTTGTCCGCGCCATTCCTTGTCCATATGCTAGGGGCGGAGTATCTGAGGGCTGGTGTTAGAGACCGTGCATAGCCTTGTCATGTTGCGAGCAAGTGTCCAAGATGTCCGAGCTTGTCCGCTAGTGCCGTAGGGTTGCGTGCATGGGCGGAGTGGCCGAGGCTTCACGTGTAGCCGTGCGAGTGTTGCCAGCGGAGTGTCCCAAGCCCGTGCGAGTATCTGTGCTTTATGCTAGGGATGCCGTGCCATTTGGACTTTTGTGCTAGATTCCTTCACGCCATGTAGTCCGTGCGTTCCTTGTCTTTTGCGTGAGATTCTCTCCTCCATTTTGTCTTGACGCCGTGCATGAGTGGGACACCTTGACCGAGCATCCTTCTTGCCATTTCACGTGACCATGCTCCCCTCTTTTTCTCCGCCCATGTTTCGGTTTTAAGTGAAGCTTGGGGAGCTTTGCTTCATTTTTCTTCCGCCTAAGTCTTAAGTGCCGAGAGAGTAAGAGAGTTAGTGAGAATTTTCGTGTGTTGTGGGTGAGCTTTTACCGAGAGCGCCTCACGCCGCAAGCCACCGCACGGAAATCCGAGAGCTCACGCCACGCTCGCACGCTCGCGGGAAGTCACGGTCGAGAGCTCGAGAGTTCAAGAGTTAGTCTCCGAAGGCTTAGAAAGAGGTAAGTTCCCGAGATTATCATGTTCATTTAAGATTAAATGTTAAAAATGTTCATGCATGTGCGTTATAGCCGTAGCCATGCGTTCATGCTATGTTCCAAGTAAATAATCCGAACCGTGTTATGATTTTCATCGTATTCCCCGAGCAATCTTGCATGCTTAAT